ACTACTACTACTACTACTACTACTACTACTACTACTACTACTACTACTATCACTGCCCTAGCACCCTACAAATACACTACTATCACGGCACAACGGTACTGGGGTACGGCTACTGATCTTCAGCACTCCAGCGTAAGAGCTTCACGACTGCTACTGCCAGTCACAAAATACGACTATTGCAATACTAGAGTACCACTACTGCAGTATTTCTGCTGCAGTGCTGTACTACGACGAGTACAGCGTCACCACTACATAACTACAGCATTGTAAGATTGCAATTCCTACTACAGTACTGTCGCCCACCCACTGTTGGCAACCGCAGAGTACGGCCCTTACGAATATTATATTCGAGTGCTGTTTTTTTTTATGTCACTACTACAATGACACAAAACGGTTCAACATTCGTGCAGCACTCATCCTACAGCACTGCTACTAGAGCACTACAGCCCGAGGGTACCACTACTGTGATCGCGTACTACGATAGTGGGCTGCGACAGCGTCAGCACTATTGCAAGTACTAGAATATGATGTTGCTTGCAAGACCTGGGTGCCACTATAACATCTACAGGACTACCGCAGCTCTGCTGCCACTTCATTAATACAATGCCCCGGCGGGCTTAGCACGGCATTGGAGTACCACGGGTGCAGCACTTGATTGCCACTGCGGCAGTACCACTGCTAGTGTTGTGCTGCGACGACTACAATGTCACCGCTACAGCACTACAGACATGTAGTACTACAACAATGTCGCAATACTACGGCATGGGAATGTTTGCCGTTCTATCGTAGAACACCCACTGCAGGCAACATTAAAGTACTACTCCTACGGGTACTTTATTGGAGTACTGCTTGTTTAATGCAACTACTACAGAAGTACAGCACTCTTCAACATCAGTACAGAACTATTCCTACAGCACTACCACTAACGCACTACAGCTCGAGGATAGAAACGCCGCACTCGAGTACTACAATAGTGGACTACTTCTACAATGCGACTTTGTGAGCAAATAATACAGTATGATCATTACTGCAAGACCTGAGCATTACCACTACAGCTACAGGACTACTACAGTGCTGTCACAACGTTAGTGCAATACTACGACTGGCGCAGCACGGTATAAGAAAATCACTCATGACATACTAGAGCACCACTACTGCAATACTACTGCTTCAGTGCTGTACTACGACTAATACAGTGTCACCGCTACAGCACTACAGTACTAGAAAACTACGACGGTGCGCGCCGATGAAGCTAGGAGCACGAGCCCCGAACTGTTCTGCGCTCGAAGCTTCCCTGGCACGGGCCCCGAAAGATTCAGCGCCACTGGCACAATATCCGACGGGTTCAGCGCCAGGAAAGAGTTGTGGAAGACGAGAAGGGGGCTGGATGAATGAAGAAACAGATGATGCGCAGGCGTAATAAGTATTCATCTGGTAACAATGAAGGAGAGGGAGACGAGGGTAAATACGATTCAAAACGATCTGTATGATCTCAGTGGGGGGCAACCACATATACATATATACACACGCATGTCTATATCTTGACATATATGTGTAATACATACTAGAACCACGCGCGTGTCGCGCGCTTAGGTTCTAGTAAGCATCGACCATTGGCAAGTCCACTGCTGCGTGTATGTACGCATGTTGTTCACAGCTGTTCGCCACTGTAGCGTTTTCTCCTATATTGTGCGAGTCGTTCAATGCGCTCTCGCCGCCCTCGTTGTCATTGCAATGGCCGCTGTCGCCGCCGTCGCCGCAGCCGTCGTCGTCGTCGTGATCGACGGCATCAACATTAAAAATCTTTGGAGGCTTCCCCAGTTTTCACGTGTTTGCATTATCCCCTCCTCACTCCTCCTCCTCCTCCTCCTCCTCCTCCTCGTCCTCCTCCTCCTCCTCCAGGAACGCACTGGGCTACGGTTCCAGCGGAGTTGCAGGAGAAATGCATTGAACAGCGTGCATAAGATCGTTAGTTTCTTGCTTCGTGTCGCTCCAATGCTCGTAGCGCGCGTTTAGCGCGCGCTTAGGTTCTAGCACGCCCCAGCCCGTGGCCAGCTCTCAGCTGCACTCACTCACTACAATTGCCTTGAACAGTAGCCCTAGAAAATGCAAGGCCGCGGATCCAACAGAGACCAATCGACGTCACGGGTACACCACCCGACAAATCTTAAAAACAAATATATGCAAAAACCGGTGTCCCTTTGGAGCGCCTTTCGCGGACGCCGCGAAAACCTCTTGAGCTACCCAAAGTATTTCGTGGGCCGTCTTGGGACTCCCCTGGACCGTTTTGAAGTCTCTTCTGAGTCACTGGGAAGCTCTGGGGACTTCCGCACGAGCATGGTGGGTCGTCTTCGTGGGGCTCCTGTGGGACATCTCTGGATCTTCTGGGGGGGCTCTTCGGTGCATATTGAACGCGTATTCAATGTCCATTGGTGGCCCCTTCGGGACGCTTCTGGGGCTTCTCGAGTTCTCCTGGTGGCCTCCATGGCTGTCTCAGAGT